CAATCTCTATAAGTATCAGTGGTCTTTGTAATGATCCTCTTAATATTTTTATTTGCTGCTTCCACTGCTCCATTCATCTTTGGACGGTAAGTCACTGAATTAGAATGTTTTATCTTGAACTAAGCACAAAGTTCTACCATCATTGTGTTATTCAGATTGGTGGCGTTATCTGTGATGATTCTTTCAGACAGCCCATACCAACAAATTATCTATTTCTTTATGAATTTGCAAACTGTAGATCTCGTGATATTGGCATATGAGGCGGCCTCAACCCACTTAGTGAAGTAATCAATTCCCACAAGTATGAAGTGATGTCCATTCGAAGCCTTTGGTGTAATTTCCCCAATGACATCCATACCCCACATAGAAAACGGCCATGGTGCAGTCATCACGTGCAAAGGTGACGGAGGTGTATGGATCTTATCTCCATAGATTTGACATTTGTGACATCTTCTTGTGTAATCAACACAGTATGAATGCATAGTGGCCCAATAGTATCCGTATCTCATGATCTTCTTGGCCATAGAAAGCCCATTTGCATGTGTTCCACATATCCCTTCATGCACCTCTTCAAGTATACTTCTTGCTTCTCGGGCATCCACGCATCTCATCAAAACTTGATCACTACCCCTTCTGTACAAAACTTCCCCATCAAAGATATATCCAGCAGCCATTCTCCTTATTGTCTTTTTATCAATCTTAGACGCCTGTTGTGGGTAAGTTTGATGCTTGATGTATTGCAAGATGTCATAATACCATGGACGACCATCTATCTCTTCTTCTAGGCTATAACAGTGTGCCGGGGTTTTATATATTTGCATTTTAATTGGTGTCATGTCAGCTTTTCTATTTGCTTGAAACATTGCAGCCAGTGTGGCCAAAGCATCTGCCATTTGATTATCTTCTCTAGGGAGATAATTGAAAGTGACATCTTCAAATTCTTTTACCAATTCAAGGATCAATCTTTTGTATTCCACTAACTTCGGATCTCTTGTCTCCCATTCTCCACGCAATTGGTACACCACCAGTGAGGAATCTCCATATACTTTGAGCTCTTTAATTTTTCTTTCCATGACCGCTCTTAACCCCATGGCACAAGCCTCATATTCTGACATATTATTGGTGCAAAAGAACTCCAATCTGCTTGTAAAAGAATAATATACATCTTCCGGGGAAATTAGTACAGCTCCAATTCCTCGTCCTAAAGCATTGGATGCCCCATTAAAATATAACCTCCAAGACTTATCATTTGAAACTGTTTCATCCTCGGTTGTGACGCACATCAGATCTTCGTCAGGAAAATTAAACTTTAAGGACTCATAATCATCCGAGGCACGACTTGCAAGAAAATCTGCTATGACACTCCCTTTGACCGCTTTTTTGTTTACATACACAATGTCAAATTCTGATAACAACATCTGCCACCTAGCCAATCTACCAGTTAGAGCCGGTGATTCCATCAAATATTTTAATGGGTCAAGTTTGGATATCAACCAGGTAGTATGGTAAAACATGTATTGCCTGAGCCTTCTGGTAGCCATACCAAAGCACAACATAACTTTTGAATTGGCGGATATCGGATCTCACAATCTGTGAACTTTTTGCTTAAATAATAGATGGCTCTCTCTTTCCTTCCAGATTCATCGTGCTGCCCTAACACACACCCCATCGAATTCTCAAAGACCGTTAGGTAAAGGATTAATGGTTTACCAGGGACTGGTGATACCAGAATTGGAGCATTGGACAAATATTTCTTGATTATCTCTAAAGTATTTTGGCACTCGTCATTCCAAACTTCGGGGTTGTTCTTTCGAAGCAACTTGAAAACTGGGTCGCATTTCTCAGTTAATTGCGAAATGAATCGAGATATGTAATTTAACCTTCCCAGAAAACCTCGAACTTCTTTTTGTGTACGAGGTGACGGAAGATCTTGAATGGCCTTTACTTTGTCCGGATCGATCTCAATTCCTCTTTGACTAACCACGAAGCCTAAGAGTTTCCCTAACATTACCCCGAAGGTACATTTAGTTGGATTGAGTTTCAATTGATATTTTCTCAATCTTTGGAAAAGTTTCTTCAAGTTTTGAATGTGTTCTTCTTCAGTCTTGGATTTGGCAATCATGTCATCTACGTACACTTCAATATCTTTGTGCATCATATCGTGGAAAAGAGTCACCATAGCTCTTTGGTAAGTTGCCCCGGTATTTTTCAAACCAAATGGCATCACTTTATAGCAAAATGTGCCCCACATAGTCACAAATGTGGTTTTTTCCATGTCTTCAGTGTTCATTTTGATTTGGTTATAGCCAGAGAAGCCATCCATAAAAGAAAACCACGAATGCCCAGCAGTGTTATCCACTAGAGTATCTACATGAGGCAACAGAAAATTGTCTTTTGGGCTTGCTCTGTTGAGATCTCTATAATCCACACACATGCTTCCATTTTTCTTTGGCACGGGGACTATGTTAGTGACCCATTCCAGATATTTTGTTGCCTGAAGAAACCCTGCATCAATATGTTTCATCACTTCCTCTTTAATTTTTAACAGCATTTCTGGCCTCATTCTTCTGAGCTTTTGCTGAACTAGCTTACACTCAGGCTTTATTGGAAGCTTGTGCACCACTATGTTTGTACTCAACCCTGGCATATCTTGGTAAGACCACGCAAAGATGTCTTTGAATTCTCGGAGCATATCTATTAGGTCTCGTCTTATTTCAATTGAAAGTGCACTGTCGATTTTTACTTCTCTCTTTTCATCATCAGTTCCCAAGTTTATAATCTCAGTCTCCTCCTGGTGAGGTAAGATCTGTTTGTCCTCATTTTCCACCAGTCTTACTAGTTCGTTAGGAACATCACATTCTACCTCATCCTGACACTCATTGATTTCTTCCAGACATATGGGTCGCTCAAAGTTTATCTCGAGATTAAATTTAGAAACATTCATGCTATTGATATTGTGACACCTGCAAAGGGAAAAATTGAATCGAATATATATATTTGGGAGGAGAGACAAAATTTATGAAATTAATGTAAAGAATGAAGAACAAAGAATGAAGAATGAAAACGTAAATAATGATGGCCATTTGAGAAACAAAAATATGTCTTTCATTGAAAGCAAGTAGAGTTAACATAGCTGCCCTTACAAAAAAGATTCCTTAATACTCGCGGGCACAAGTATAAGGATTAGTTCTGGGTATTACTCTGAATTAATCTTAACAACTACAGGGAGATCCTCTGCAGTCCAATTTTTCAGCGTTTCTCCTGGGAAGCAAGGACGAATTCTAGCCAAATATTTTCCCGATTTATCATCCCCAGTTATCATGTTGATGACCAAACCCTCCATGGCTTCGTCAAACAAGTCTTTGTCTTTCATCTGCTTTCCTTCATCAGTTGCTCTGGCTAACTGTTGCTCCATATCGTTCACTCCTCCAAACTTGAATGAGATTTTTAAGGGAGGGAAAAACATACGATCCCACGGAATGTCCTCTCTTTTCAGTCTAGCTCTTCTTACTTCACATCTCCTCTTTAATTCTTTCTTTCTTTGCTGAGAATCAGGCTCAAACCCAAGCCCAAAGCGGTCGCTCTTCATCATAACAAATTTGGGATGTAAAGTCCCCTGCAAGCATCTACCGAGACCTTTTCCAATTTTAGCTCCTTTTCCTAGAGTCTCTCGCACAATCATCTTAGTGCACTCAGATAAATGCGGGTGAGGAATCTTGTTTCCTTCAGCAATGAAAGTAGCGTTGACAAATTCTAAGGCTCTGAAGGAACACTCTAGGGCATTCTCATTGGTCTCAATGTAAGGGGTGTCAGTCGTCACGGAAGCAATGATCTCTTCCTCTGCCCCAATACTGATTAACTGGCCATCTGTCACAAATTTCAATTTCTGATGCAATGACGAAGGGACTGCCCCTGCAGAATGAATCCATGGTCTCCCAAGCAAGCAGTTATATGATGGGTTGATATCCATTACCACAAAATCAATATTGTAAACAGTTGGTCCAATCAATAATGGTACCTCCATCTTTCCAAGGACATCCCGCTGGGTTCCATCAAAGGCTCTAACAACATTTTGGTAGGCCCTCATATGTGAGTTGTCCACTGGTAATCTTCGTAATGTGGCCATAGGCATAACATTGAGTGCCGACCCATTGTCAATCAAAACACCTAGTAAGACATGACCATGGCAGTGGGTTGTGATATTGAGGGCTTTTATCGATCCCATTCCACCATCAGGAATTTCATCATCAGTGAATGTTATGTAATTGTCTGCGGCTATATGCCCCACAATTCGATCCAACTTGTTCACTGTTATATCCTCAGGCACAAATGTTTGATTGAGCACTCTAAGTAGAGCATTCCGATGTACTTCTGAATTCATTAACAGATCCAGAATTGAAATTCGTGCTTGTTGCTTATGTAGCTGCTACTACACTATACTCACTATGTTTTAAGAATTTCAAGAATTCTTGTGCTTGTGCTTCAGTTACCGACTCATTGATTAGTGGTAGGGGCTCATCATTAAATATCCTTTGCGGTACCACTGCAACTTTTCCTTTCAATTTCCCCTTGTCTGCTTCTTTTGATGTTTCAGGAGAGTAACACCTTCCACTTTTTGTAAAGTGCCCTACTTCACTCACTATTTCATTCTTCAAGCTGCTTCCTGGTGTTTTATCATTTTCTTCAGCTACTTTTGTTTCCTCTAGCGAACCAGATCCCCTTAACATTGAAACATTGGCAGTGTAGTTCCAAGGTACCTTGTGGGTATCTTTAAACGAAAATGGTGAAGGGGCCGTGATAACAACTTTTGGCTTCACTGACGTGGAATTCATCGCAGATGGTCTCAAAGTGATGACCACAGGCTTATTTGTTTTATGCATTGGCTTGGAATTTTCGGTTGTGCAGACAACTTCTCCTCTTTTTCCCTCATCTTTCTCAAAGAATTCTATTTCCTTGTTGTCCATCAACTTTTGTAGTAACCCCCTAAATTCAGGGCAAAGTTAAATTTTTTGTCCTTCTTCTTGGTGATATTCACAATAATTTTCACATTCATTGGGCTTTGGTTTAGGATCTTGTTGAACCATGCCGACATGATAAAGTTGTTGGAACACCCAAATAAAGGGAGATTTGATTTCATCAACATCTGTCTTCATTTTTTTCCTATTATCCTCATGGACTGCGTTCACACCTTTACCTCCATGATTCGGTAGTGGGTGTGTCGATACATCAGGTGAATCAAATTGCAATCCCCCAGTATTAATCAGATTTTGCATAACTTTTTTGAAGGCCAAACAGTTCTCAATAGAGTGACCAGTAATTCTATTATGGTAATCACAATGTGCATTTACGTCATACCAATGAGGGTACGGTGGTTGCAGAGGAGTCAAACGATAAGGGCGCACCACATCCGCCTTTAATAACGAGGCGTATATCTCAGAGTAGGGTACTGGTAGTGGTGTGAAGGACATTCTCTCATTCTCCTTGCGAGGTCCCTTGGAATCATTTCTGGTGGTGCTCGTGTCATTCCTTTCATCTCTTGGTTGGGTTATTGTGACACTTTTTGAAGTATTCTTGTTGTATACATTTTCATTATTAACTTCGTTTTCTTTTTTCCGGTATACTAGTTTTTTTGAACTGGACCCATCAACTGCCTCGATCTTGCCACTCTTTATAGCGTTCTCGATGAGCTCCCCTGAGATAACTAGATCAGCAAAGTTTTTGGTGGCATTTCCAAGTAAATGCCCTAAGTACGGAGCCTTCAAGGTGTTGACAAAAATTACAGTAGCTTTTTTTTCAAGTAAAGGGGGTTGGACCTGTGCGGCTATGTCACGCCACCTCTGGGCATATTGTCGGAAAGTCTCATTATTTCTCTTTTCCATATTCTGAAGAGTCCACTGATCAGGAACCATATCTGTGACATGGCGATACTATTCTAGGAATGCCTTTGCCAAGTCTCTCCATGATTTAATGTGAGCCCTAGTTAATTGGTTGTACCATTTGGCGGCAGATCCTTTCAGACTGTCTTGAAAACAGTGAATCAGTAGCTTTTCGTCTTGCACATGACCGGCCATCCTTCGGCAAAACATGGTGATATGAGATGAAGGGCATGTGGTACCATCGTAATTTTCAAATTCAGGAACCTTGAATTTCATAGGGATGATCAAGTCTGGGACCAAACTCAGCTCTCTAGTGTCAAACCCATATAATGATTCAACCACTTCTACCGATTTTACCCTTTCTTCCAAATTCTTCAACTGTTGAGTTATTTCTTCATTGGCTTTCTCCTTTTCGGCTAACTCATTTAGATCTAGGATTAGGTGCTCAGTACTAAATTCTCCTAGCCTTACTCCTGGAACAGACTGATAGCTATTTGGGAATGTGGATCCCATTTGTTGTTGTTGATTCTCATTGCTGACATATGCATGAGATCGAGCTTCTTGAGGTATCGAAGAACGAGCAGAGATGTGTATAGGTGTGAAACCAAGAGGATGACCAAATTCTGTTGTGATCCCTGGAGGGGGTATGGAATCTTGGTTAGAGGAGGTGGGATTTCCAGCATGACTCTTTTCAGCATGTTTCTTGAATAGGTCCTCTAATTTCTGCAGCATATTCAGTTGTGAACTGGCAATATTGGCCTCAATCTTTTCAAATTTACTTCTCATTTCTGCCTGCATATCTTTTTGCTCTTGCTCGAGACGGTCCAATTTGTCGTCCATCTTCTTACTCACTTTCCTAGTATAGTAAGAATGTTGCGTTTCTTTGTTGCTAACAGGGGCCAGGGTAGCTGCGATTGGAAACCTTATCGTATTATTTTGGTGATTTTAATTAATGAATGCATGTCTTAATGCGAAATATTTAAAATTCATACATAAATAAATACAAATAAAGAATGAATGTATGCAAGAGGTATTGATCCAAAAAAGTTAATTTTCATAGAACAACTTCCATTATAACAAAAAGTTTTCATTACAAAATAGTTCACTTCTACAGATACGGCTTAGTTCAACATCCATTGCAACAAAAAGTTTCATTACATAATAGTTCACAGATACGGCCTAGCTCTTCTATTAAGCTCAGCAATTTCACTAATCATCCACAACATCTTCTTCCCATACTTAGAAACCGGATTGATGTGGTGCTCGATGACCTTTGCTTCGACAGCTAGTTCTCCAATGTATCTGGCAACTTCACTCATCTGTATTATGGCCTCGGCTACCATGTTGCTTCTGGCTGCATTTTGTTCTTCATAGAAATCATTTGATTTTTGCCACTGTTCAGTAGTTCCTTGAAGATTTCGCTCTAGCTCATTAATTCGTACATGAAAAATCTGCAGTGCACTTTCCAGATGTTGAATTTGCTTTCGTAGCAAGGCATTCTCTTCAAGACTTTCCTGAAGATCACTCGGTCCCCGGAGAACATTTTGTTGGAACAAGGATTCTTCGAGTTGTAGGATGTAATCACTGAATTCTGTGTTTTTAGCCCGACACTGAGCCAGATCCTCTTCAAGTCTTGTATGTCTTTCCTGCATCCTTCGATTGAGACTTCGTACTTCTTTATTTTTGTCTCCACACCTTTTTATCCAGCCGTTGGTTGTCTCTTGCCTTGCTTCAAGTGTAGTATTGAAGTGTTGCTTTTCCAATTCCCATCTCTTCCTTTCAGTATCAAATTCTTCGATTCTTTGTCCTCTATCATCAAGTTCGACAAGCATGTTATTCATTTCGGCTTCAAATCCTCTGAACATGATGGTCTTCTCAGCCTCGAACCCCTCAAGAATGCTATTCTTTTATTCTTCCAGTTCTTTGACACGATCTTTCTCCCTTTTTTAATTCTTTCATAGCTTCGCGATTCTCAGCTTTATATTTTATGATCCGCTCCCTCTTATCAAGCTCAAGCTCTTCTACTTTTTTGCTTCACTTTCTCTAAGCTCTTGAGTAGACGATCGTTTCTTGCCTTCATATTTTTGACTCGATGTTTCTCTTCGTTTAACTCTTTGGTTAATTGTGCTGACGTTCTGCTTGACCCAACTGTGGACCTAGATTTTTGCAGCTTGTAGTAATCCTTCTTCAGATCTTTTAAATCCGATTCTATTTTTTCTTTTCTCACTTTTAGCATTGCAAATTGTGCAGCATGAAAGTCAGCATCGATACTCAACATGTATTTGTCTTGTCGTATCTGTTCCAGTTCTTTTGACCAACCTTCTTTCTCGGCCTCGAACTCTGTTCTCAAGATCTCTACCTCTGATGGGACTATCTGAATTCTTTCTTCCATAGAGATATCCTCATTTTGGTCAGGTAGAGGAATATTTTCATTCTTTCTAGCATATCTCCACTCCTCATAATCTGGCGTCAACATCACTTTGGCTGCCTCAGCTCTAGTACGGAAAGTCTTTTTCCATGCTCTAACTGCCTCAAGGATGTTCTTCTTATAATTGTTTCCGTGAAATACGAATTCAGATGAGTGCAATCTAGCAGTGACTGGGACAAATTGACGGCTATCATATTGCCTCAAAACCAAAAGGGGTGCGTACCCAATTCCTCCCCACAAACCAAGCAGCATCACCCAATTATAGTCACCACATTTATAGAGGAGTTCACTTTGTATTTGCCAAGGGGCGCGCCAAACAATGTCCTTGTCTCGCATATTTCTAAAGGCATCTATCCACATGTCTTTAGTGACTCCTTTTGGCCAATCTTGCTCGAGGAATTCTCTCAAAGGCGAGTAGTTGGTACTAAAACGATGATATGAAATCTTTTCAATTTTCCAAAAATGACTATGTATCCATACATATAGTAGTTGTGCGCACCCTGAAAATCGACCACCTCCAAGCCTTCAACAAGCATTCAAGGATCGGAAGGTCTCTACTAAAATCAAAGGAGCAGGGTTGATCTTTTTTGGTAATTGTTCAAATAAATCCACAACTGCAGCCTCAATATACCCCAAGGCCTTCGGGAAGATGACTAAGCCATAAATACCCAGTGCAAAAAGATCAAATCGAATTTTCTCGTCAGGATGACTTTGAATAATTTCTTTAATAGCAGTCCAAGAAATACCTTCGCTTTCGCCTTTTTGTTTGGTACGAGTAACCACCCATTCCTCGCGCACTCCCGCAATTTTTGTTAATTTGATTCTAAAGGGTTGAGTTTTGATGGACTTGGAATAAATCCGATTCTCTTGAGCCTCTTCTATGTGCAACAAAGCAATATATTCTTCGATGGTAGGAACCATATCTTCTTGATTGAAAGTGAAGCAGTTGTAACCTGGATTCCAAAATTGAATCAAGGCTCGGAGCAGCTCATCCTCTATGTCAACATACAACAGATAGGAAATGTCCCCATAACACTGGTAAAACTGCAGTGTCTTACTTGATTCCCATTTTTCCCAAATGTCTCGTAAGTCTTGGACGTCATTTCTTTTAAGAGAAATAGGATCATAACCCAATAATTCTGACACATGATCGGCTTGCAAACTGTCCCCTTCTTGTCTTTGTAGTGCTTCAGACCACTGTCGTACCTCGGGGTTTTGAACAATTTGACTCGAATACTTTTCGTCCATTACTGAAAGCTTTCCAATTTGATGATTAACTAAAGATCAACACCCTCAATCTTGAATGATGCAATGCAAATATCAAAAATGAAAGGAAACAAGAAAATGAAACAAGTTAGTACATGTAATGAGTTAATAAAATTTTGGAAAAAAAAACCTACCCATCATGATAGCTACCCAAACATACTTTTTAATAAATAACAATCCTACCCAATCATGCTTTCTAACCCATATACTTAAAATAATAAGATAAACCTTAAACCGTATAATTTTCTAATTCACATGCATTTATAAAAATAAATTTAAAAAAAGGTTAGAGTTCATTTCTCCTTTGTGTACACTTATTTGGGTACCTATGGACAAAGTTTCGGCTTGGTCTTAAATCGGGTGGGTTTCTATGGTTTATTATATGCAGAGTTTTGATTCTAAGAGTAAAGGTACTCGAATTGTCCTTGTTGGCGCCCCCTTGGGCGAGCCAGACCCTCAATCCTCACCCATTATAGGCTTAAGCGGATCGAGTTCAATTCGAGGGGGCACATTTCCCTTTGCCTGACACGGAGAATAAATTCTCACGAAGACATAGGACATATGAACCCTGGAAGCTAATTGCTAGGTCTGACACGGAGAATAAATTCTCACGAAGACGTCGCTTTCACTCCCACTTAAAAGGAAGAGCTCGGGTATAGAGCTTATGTTATGCAATGCAAGTGTCGTGTGTGAGGAGAAATTATCAAACCTTTGACAAACAACCACACAAAAATGAACTAAAGCGAATCTGAGACTTTAACATCTGAAAATCAATCAAATACAAATATTAATATACAATGATAAAAAAATAATAAAAGAATTGAAAGAAATCAAAATAATCGTAAATTAAATAAAATCGAATTCTCAATTTACAACTATAGAGACAATATATAATTGATTTAGGGCTTGATCCACAAAATCCCCAGCGGAGTCGCCAAGCTGTCGTAACCGATTTCCGGCGATACGACGAGTCTCGACTCATTTCTTGAAAACCCGATTTTGTAAAAGAAATGTTTCGGAGTCGCCATCGACCTTTTGGGTTAGGTAGGCCGAATAACCAAAAATCTTCTTTTAAAAGAGTTTTTTAAGAAAAACATCATTTTAAAAGATGCATCGATCCACGTATAATCAGAAATTCATTTTTAGTAAAAAAAAGAGTTCGGGGGTCGATTACGTGTGGGGAAGGATTAACACCCCCACAACGCCCAAAACTGGTACCCATCGGTTATATATTGTCTCTAAATAGTAGAAATCTAAGAATTTGAATATATATTTAGATCACGATTCCATTATTCCTAATTCAACCATACAAATATTATAGAACAAAAATTCTAAGGAAAAATATAAAATATTCTCTTATTTCCAATTGAAGAGAAAATACTCCCTAAAATACTTTAGGACGAATATTTCTCTTCCCAACTGAAATAAAAAGAATATAATATTTTTTCCTAAGGTTTCCATATAAAAAAAATTATTCTACCAAAGAAAGAAATTAAATTTATTAATCCGAATATTATTAGAAAAGATAAGGGATATTCAATAATTTAAAACCACCGAGACTTAATCTCTAATAAAATTAGCAAATTGTCTCGATAAGTTTAAAATAACGAATATTTCCTTTTCCCTTCAAAATTAATTAATTTTAAATGCAATCAATTTTTTAAGTTTTTCTAGTGGGATATTTATTTATTTTAAAATATCGGAAAAGGACATCTAGTTGTTTTAAGACTGTCCCTTCTTAATATTTTAATATACATAAATATAACCCTTAATCCAATTATGTAATTGGTTAAGTTATACTAATGAGGCTTTTAAACAAAATAAAATATGATACATTGAAGCACTTAAAGAAAAAAATATAAATACACATGGATTAAAAGAAAAATTCTAAATTTATTTTTAACTTAACATTACTTTAAAAAATATAAATATTTTCTAAATATTATACTAAACATAGAACCAAATATTTATTCTAAAATAAAATAAAAAAAAATATAACATTTATACCATGCTCTACATACAATCTTATGTACATAAAATAATGCATAATAATACAAGTGAAATAAATACCTAGAACATAAAAATACTTTAATGATACAAAGAAATAATATACACTTGGATTCATTCATAATATAGTGACAAAATAATTATAAAGTAACTTTGATATCCTAAACATTAATAAAGCAAATATTATAACATTAAACAAGAAAATAACACATAGAAGCACCAAAATCATAATAAAACCATAAACATAGGACTAAAATATAAAAACATCATCATCAGTAGCCAATCTCGAACAAAAAATAATACATCCAACAGAGGACTAAATTACAATAATATAAAATCATGCATCTAATTCGTAAATCTTAGAAAATAAAATGAAATGATGACTAAATCACATAACATGCTAAAATGTAAGGGACCTACGGCTTGATTTACCCTAAAAAGTTACTAAATCACGAATCACATTCAACGTAAAGGACCAGTAAGGTAGTTTAACCTAAAACTAGTGGCCAAATAAAACATGCTAAAGTTCCAAGGACCTTTAGCGTGGTTTACCCAAAAATACTAAGATATCAACTTCCTCCCTTTTACCAGAACTCATTTCTGCGTGGATTTCTAAAATTCCCTTACTCTTTCTCTCCCTTTTCTCTTCCCCTCAACCCACGGTGGTTGCTCACTCTAAAGAACCAAAACAGAGCCACCACACACGGAGGCGCCACTACCCAAACTACACTAACCCGGCTCTAATCGCTTTCCCTACGATTCGACTCAAGGATTGGAACACAATCAACTCCAGGTAAACTTACTCTTAACATATTTTCTTTCCCAAAAAAAATTTATTTAAGCTTTGTTTTAATTTTTATTATCTTTTTAAAACCAAAGAAAAATGAAATTGGGAAGAAAAAAAATACCTTAAGAGAAGGTTCTTGTATTTCTGTTGGAAAAAACGAAGAGGAAGCCCCTCTTCTCTGTTATATGGTTTGGTTCTTATAATCAATTTACATAGATTAAAAAACAAATAAAAAAAATCCTAGCTATACTGTGGATCCACTGTTGTTGATGATGGTGTGCTTTTAATGCTCTGGATATTCCGGGGTTTTGTTGAGCGAGCTTGGATCGGCGGTGGCGGTTGAATCATGATATCTCTATAGTTAGGATTAGGGTTAAGGTTCTATCAGGTTTGAATTTTTGAGGTTTGAGGTTATGGGATTTAGGGGTTATGAAAAATGGTGGCTACACATACTAAATTGTAATTGTTGGAACACTTCATCTTCGAATCCATTAAAACTCTTTCTGAGTAGACTTAATTCTTTTAGTGCATTCCTCCATTCTGAGATGTCATAAATGCCCTTCATACAAGAAGCTATAGTAATTATTCCCAAGGGCAAACCTGCACAACGCTTAGCAATTGACCTTGCAATTGGTTCCACCCCTCGAATATTGAGAATATCACGACCCACCTTCTCCAAGGACAGCTTCCAGGCCTCTTCTTCCGTTAGAGGCTTCACTTTAATTACTCTACAGTCCACTTATCGACACACATCAGATGATCGAGTTGTCAACACTTACTCCCAACAGACGGTTCAGGGATTCCTACCTTATTAAGGGAAACTTTCTCCATAAATCGCCAAGATCATCACAAACCTACTCTTTTGCAACAATGTTTCATAGAGCATCCCTGCCCTTGTTATTTCATCTTCATCACCGGAAAAATCTACTCCAATTTTACTCGCAATGTCTTTCTGCAGTTTAGCAATACTCATCTCCTTGGATACAATGATCCAAACCACAATATCGAAGTTCCCCGTCTCTTTTAAGAGTTGGTTGTTTATAACCTTCATGATGCTTGTTTTCCCCACGCCACCCATCCCCCAAAGTCCAAGCTTTGGAACCTCATCATCCATCAAGCACTGCCAAATCTCTTCAACACAGGCCTTTACAGCTTCACTGATAACACAAAAGAAACCAGTACTGAATTACCACAGAATCCAAATAACAAATGATCAATGAACTAACAAACGAAACCCCGATGATATCGGATAAACTGTTGATGATGATGACTATCCTGTTGAAGATCATCTAATACCTAAAATCTGGGACGTAATTGACGACGATGGGAATATGAGATCGATTTATATAGAGATCATCCGTGAGTGACAGAATTAAGAGCCAAATGGAAAGACGGATGAGCAGATGCAGGGACATTATCTAATGCCCGCCTGCTTCTTTTAATATTTTCCAATATTTTCAAAACCGGATCGGACATTGAACCGGTGAAGGTACTAGTTCACTGGTTTACTGGTTCAACCGGATTCAACCGCGGTTGAACCGAATTTTATATAAAATAATATATTTTTTTAATTTTACATAATATTCAAAGCAATATTAATATATATGTAACACTTTTTTTAAGTTTACAATATTAAAAGGTATAAAAATATCACAAGTCATAATATGTATAAATGAAAAACCATAAAATCAAGTGAAACAAAATGATTTAAATCAACTACAACATAATATTTAAGGTAAAACATATTAAATAAATATAATTATATAACAAATAAATGGGGCTTAAAAAAAATTATAACAAATGTGGCTAATTGAAAAAAACATAGAAGAGTATCACAAAAGTTTAAAGAGTAAAAATATGATAACAAAACAATATCACATGGCTAAGAAACATAGAAGAGCATCTCAACTTACTTCTATAAATAATAGAGGTAATTTGACATTCAAAATCATGGAGCCTTTTGGTGAGCACAAAGTTAACTATTCTTTCGCTTCAATTGAGCTAAAATTTTTGGCTTCAATTGAGCTCAAATTTTAGGCTTCAATCGAACTTCTAATTTTTTTTTGAGTTCGAGCCTTTTCGATTTCAAGTTTTATATTATATTCGAGTTGATAATTTTTAGCTCGTGAGTTTTTGAGTCGAGTTGAGCTTACTTTTAAAGTTTTCGAGTTCGAGTCGAGCTCAGCAATACTCGAATTTGACTCGGCTCGAACAAATGACGTCGTTTGGTTAATTTTTTTAAGAAAAAAAGTGAACCGGCGGTTCAAACCGGTTTTGCCGGTTTTCAGCCGGTTTTCTCGGTTTTCAGCCGGTTCTTTCGATTCTTTACTGGTTCTGTGCTAGTCCGGTTTTGGGAGTTAACCGGATCGGACAGACCACCGGTTCACGGTTCAACCGGTCGAACCGGCCGGTCCGGTCCGGTTTTAAAACATTGATATTTCAATGGTCTCATTAACTAGGATGAACGTTCGATTGAGTCGAGTCAAAAATTTTAAGTTATTGAGTTGACAAGTCTTATTTTATAATTTGAAGTTGACTTTAAATTTTTTCTAGTTGAGTCTAATTTTTTAGTTCCTGTTTAAATTTAATTATAATATTTATAATATTATGATATTATGTTATTTAAATTAAAGATATTTTATAACGTATATAATATATAATATATTTCTTCATATTTTTTGCATATGTAATGTATATATATTGAGTCGAGGGACTCGACTTAAACTTGAAAATTAATTTACTAATTATTAAAAATTTGAGTTATTCGAGTTGTATTTTACAACTCGATTTTAACTTGAAACTTTTTAAAAGTCGAATTTATAAAATTAAACTCGTAGTCGATTCAAATCAAATTAAATCACAAAAATCAATTTTTCAAATCGTGCCAACTGCTCTCGGCCTATCGAAACAACAAAACAAAACTCCATACAGGAAGATCATTACTTCTCTTCCTCAAAAACTCATTTAAGTCTCACAGCTAATAACCTCGCCAGAACTATGTGTAAGCGTAAGGTGAAATTACCATAGTAGTCCTTGTACTAAGCGGTATATTGCATTTTGGTTCTACTAAAAAAGGACTAAATTTTTTTTGTCTTGAATAAATTAGTCCCCCCGTTCAAATTTTTTGTAATCATCCCTACAGTTAAATGCTAACTTGACCAAAAAAAAGGCTTATTAAGTAATTGGTCATTGTATTTGATATTTTCTCTTAAATTAATACTTTTACTTTTTGTTTGATACCGAATTTTAATTCTACCAATTATTTTGATATACTTTTTTATATCACTGTCGAACACTATGACTTGTCAACATAAAATTTTAAAAGGTCACATCATTCAAATATTTTTTAAAGAAAATAAAAATTAGTATAATATAACATCTACTTGTAGAACATAATATTACTAATTAAGTAAATGAATAAATATTTGATGAATTATTCATATAACATTTATTTTTAAGTTGATTTGATGAGATAAATAATTTTTTTTATGTTTATTTAATAAACGAATTATTAAGAACATATGTGTGTTCAATTCATTTATGTTCATAAACAAGTTCGTTTATGTTCATGAACCAACTCGTTTAGAATATCGTTTACTTTTTATATTTTTTTATATTTTAAATATTGGTGAACGTAGGGATGAAACTAAACACATGATGAAATTTGAAGTTTAAACTAAGTTTCGAACATATAAATGAACATATTCTCAAACGCTAAAAGAATGAACAATAAAACTTTAAAAAATAAGTAAACAAACATAAACACGGTATTAAAAATTTAAACGAATATGAATCAAACATAAATATTTTTAAAATAAACAAACAAATAAACATAACTTTATTCATTCAAATTCGACTTATTTATATCCCTAAATATTATTTCATAATTGCACTTTTCAATTTCAAAAGTAAAGATGAATTTATACATAGTTAAAAATTATTAATTTCGAATCATTATTAATCCAATAATTGTCCTTATCTAATGAAATAATGAGATTTAGTAGGTGGCGGAAATTCCAAGATTCGATCAAATCCAAATCAAGTCGTAATGATATTAACTTGGCGCCACGTGAATCATCGGTCAACGGAAAGGCCACGTCACGTTGCATCAATTAAAATATATTATATAGATAAAGTACACAAATAATCTTTAATTATAATATATTATTTTGTTAAGTATATTGATTATTTAAAGTTATAAAACGGTCTTTTAATTATATGATATTGTTTTGTTGAGTTTCTCGATTAATAAAAAATATAAAATGGTCATCTAAGTAATCACATGTTCTAAACTTATTATTTTTCGATTAAAAAATAATGGTCGTATGAGTTGGACGATAACACGTTGATTAAGTTATGATAGTCGTTTGAGATTCCTACGATTAGATTTTAGTATATCTCAGTCAATATGTTAACGTCCAGCTCAAGTTGTCCTCAAATTTTTAACGAAAATGATGAGATTAAAATATATGAATAGTCGGACGACCATTTTGTAACTTTTAATAGTCGAGAGACTCAACAAAAGCAATGTCCTATAGTCAAAGGATTATTTTATAACTTTTAATAATCGAGAGACTTAACAAAATAATACTTTATAGTAGGAGGATATTATGTACTTTACCCAAATAGTTTTATTACCATATAATCATATTTATCATAATTGAAATCAAACTGTTGAAAATTATTTTAAGATATATTTTCATTAAATAATAGTTTTAGTTGATTCTCAATTACATTAATGTTACATGCAACATCAAAATCATGTGGTTTTTGGCCATGTTAGAGGTCCAAACTGTTACTCGTCGATGGTGTCGCATATTATATTTTACTGACTTGAGTTAAATTTAAAATTTTTGTACATATCTTGTGAGAATAATAGTGTGGAAATTGCTTTGATATGAATGGTTTGGACACAGCTTTTTGGCCTCCACATCTTTCATATAGTACTATAGAATCAGTAACAAATACATGATTTTATGTTAGGAGATAAATATATAAAATTTTAAAGGAAAATAAATTTATAATTTTTTAGAAGATAAAAATAAATTATCGATAGAAATTCGATAAACAAATAGAATAAAAAATCTGAAAATTTTAGGAGGATATATGTCTCCACCCGTCCACTTCAATACACGCAGATGCTGCTTCGTGGGACTATGCTCTTCGTGATCCTATTGTGAACCCTGAAGCTTTGTTTTAGCTTTAGTCTAGTTTTCTTTCTCTGTCAATAAAGAAAAAAATAATCATTTGATTTTTATTTGGCCACCAACTAATCACATGGTTGGATTTTTTATTAATTTATTTTATCCATTTAATTGTAACTTTGGGCAAAATAAACCCTAATTAATAACTTATTTTACTAAATAAAAAGGGAGTTTTGAAATTTAAAAAAGTTAAATTAAATCTTATTATGTATATAAATCTGATTAAAATAATAATAATGTAAATTTCCAATCTTTTATTGATAAATAAGAAAACTTATTTTACTATTAAAAGATTTAACATTTAAAAATTTAATCAATTGAAACTTATATCAATATAAAAAAACTAAAATAAAATTTAAATCATGATAAAATAAAAAATTAAAATCTTTTATGTTCTATAAAATATATATCTACCATAAAAGAATATAAAAAGAAACTCAAACTAAAACTCAAGAAAAATAAAAGATACGGCCACCATAAAAAGAAGGATAATCATCATCAACATTGACATAATAATAGAATATGATAACATATTGACATTTGATTTTATCACAACTCAAACACGACATAACTAGAATGACTACAAACATTTATTAAGATGAGAAAATTAACATCGTGATTCAAAGTAGAGATAAATCAACAAAATGACTAAAAAGCACAAAGTAGAGAGGTGATGAGATATCAAACCCCTTACACCCATCTGCTAGTTATGTTTTCAATTTTTCCCCACCATCAGTGGAAGACCTTACTGCAACGGGAGTCATGACTTCTGTCTCCATAACGATGATAAAACTTTTCTAAAAACTTTTTGACAACATACAATTTGGGATTTTTCATATACTAATTCAATCATACAACATGGAAACGATCAATGAGATCCTTATTTTCCCCAAAATTTACACAGTTGGTCAACCTTTTCCTACGGTTAGGGTGATGTTCCCTCCATTAACAGAACCTCCAAAAACGTGCACAGATGAGGAACAACAAGAACAAAGAAGAGATATATAATCAGAGAATGCACAGATTCAGGAAAACCAAAAACAAGAACAAAGAAGAGATATATAATCAGAGAATGATACAATATTATGCATTTCAAGATTCAGTCAAAATATTAGTTAAACAGTGACAACTCGGCACCCTAATCGTGTCAAGTCAGCTTTTTGTGATTCGATAATGTTAGTGATTATTTTATAACTTTTAAAACTTCAATAGGAAAAAGAAAAACTTGCTTATACTTCGATGACTATTTTTATAGTTTACCCTAAAAATAAAATAAAATAAATTATTTCCTTCTACGGATCTCTATAATATACAATCCGGATTAGTTAGTTAATAAATCAAATATAGATTATTATAAAAAAATCATGATATATTATTAATTTTGTTACAAAGAAAATAGATATTAAAAAAAATCATGATATATTATTAATTTTTGATAAAAAAAAAAAGATTCTATTACTACTAAGTAACTAAAATGAACTACAACATACGAACATCACACTACTAATTTCTAAACAACAGTTAAATTAATGGGGAAAAAATAAGAAACAAAACTCAAATGAGATCCATAATATGTTTTTTTCTTTCTTTCATGATACAGGGACAATTAGTTTATTGATACTCCTTGTCTTTTAGAACTGATAAGTTCCGAGACTACTCCTTCCAATGTCAAGGCATCCGATAGCACAGTGACAACAGGCCTATATTCTGCTGACAAGCCATTCAAGATCGTGGCAATATGCTCAAGAACGAGTAGAATTTTACCACGCCACCAGATCACCAGCATCTGATATCATGTTGTAATTCATACTAGAACTTATCAAAATATTAAGAAAAGTAACTAAACTTGTTCATTCATCAAAGGAGTACATCAACACATTTATACAAGAGAGCTTGTACAGCAGACTTAACAGACTTATTTAACAATCTCATAACCAACCTCTAACAGCCTCAACCAACCTAACTAATCACTAGCAAACCCACACAGCTCACACGTACACTAGCTGCAGTTGCCAACCAAACCTCCATGAAACCTACCCTGTTGAGTAATAAGTTCTTCAACTTCCTTTATACTCTGACACATCTTCTCTGTGAAATCCACGTATAAAAGCATTGCTTTCACCCACTCTGTCAACAAGGTTTTGGACTTCGCCATTGATTCTTTCAACATTTTCCGACCATATCTGGACTTCCGCCTTGAGTTTCTTTCTCGGCTGCAGCTCTGATCTCATTATAGATTCTGTATCTTCCTTCAATTTCCTTTTAAGGACTCTGTCATCAAGCACTGCCAAATCTCTTCAACACAGGCCTTTACAGCTTCACCTGATAAATTTGTTGTCGATAAAACTTGTCCGATCCATTGAGGATTGTCAACCACCAAACCCCCATGAAATCTACCCTGTTGAGTAATAAGTTCTTCAACTTCCTTTATACCCTTTGACACATCTTCTCTGTGAGATCCACGTGTAAAAGCATTGCTTTCACCAATTCTTCCCTCAAGGTCTTGCACTTCGCCATTGACTCTTTCAACATTTCAAACCATATTTGGACTTCCACCTTGGGTTTCTTTCTCGGATGCAGCTCTGTTCTCATTATAGATTCTGTGTCTTTCTTCAAACCAATCAATTCCTCCAATTTCCTTTTAAGGTTCTTCCGATGTTGATCAAGGCTTCTATGATTGTCCAAGTGTTATCTATCTTATTCAGGACAAAGTCCATGGCTGCAAGTCACAAGCAATATGTTAGAAACTAAATAATAACGCATCATTAGGTGAATGTATCTAAACATGACTAAAATATAACTTCATTTTATTCTTAAAAATGTTTAAGAAACTATAAAGATGTAAATCAAGAAGTTTCGCCCTCTCACGAATAATCAAATCAAATTAAACAGAAATTTAAGAGAGTGAAATTTCAAAACTTCAAGGCATAAATTAAATCATGAATAAAAACAAAAACTGAATTATAAGATACTTTTTGGGTACATGGCTGTCTATAAACAAAATTTAACAATAAATTTAAGGTATATTGACATAATGTATAATCAAATGTCTTTTTTTCTTATAGTTGACAAAAAATTTAATGAAAGATCCTATGAATAGACCTCAATAATTAAGGGGAGTTTTGTTCTCATTAAAGGTATTGGACTCGAACAGTGTGTTTACAGGTACGTGCGTTGACAATAATTAAAAAAGATTATGAATATCTTGTAATCACCCAACTATTTTAAAAAAATTAATGTTGTTTTATCTTTTTGTTCTCAATCATATATTACTACTGCTTACAGCTCCATATTTGAATCTCTTTGTTAGCATTTTCATTTCATTTTTTTGTCATTAACTGGAATAAATTATAAAGGCTACTGCGCTGTCTCAGTTTGATTCTTCCTTCAGTTTATCTCGCCTTTTATTTTTTATTTTTAATTGAGGGGTGGCATGGATCATCATCTTATTTGATTAAAAATTTGTTAACTTAAATAAATAAAAATTAAGAAAATATCATCTAAATATGAAAAGGAATCTATTCTACAGCCGTTTATGAGCTTTGAAAAAAAAATGTTGAAATTCCATAAATACCTCTTTTGAGAAGTTTGTTCGAAGACGATGATCGGAGAGAAGCAACTGATGAAGAAAACGGCCAAATGAAGTTCCTTGGTTTGCAGAAGAGCCGCTATTCACTCACCTGAACTTAAACTAAGCTCACAGAGGAAATTTCTAGGAAAATATGAGGAAGCTCCGCTGCAACCACTTTAAAGAAATGCCAAGGTGAAAGCAAAGAAGCTGCCATGGAAGACTCCCAAATGGAAAGAAAGGACTAACTTTAGTATTTGTTCAATGAATCTCAACTATTTAATAAATTACAGAATTATATTTTTCTTTTATTTTACTCGGTTTACTTTATTCATAACACTATAATTTAAATTTGTAAACTTATAAATAGTAATAATAACCCACCATTTTTTAACCAATGACTAAAATTACCCTAAAAATTTATTAAGTTAAAGAGTGATCTCCCCAATAAGAAAGTGAATGGTTGAAATCTAATCATTTCTTTTTCTTTTTTTTTTCTTGTCTCACACACCTAGCTTGTAAATGAGTCTTCCAACAGGGATATTTACATACACAAGGACTCGAACATTTTCTGAACTGTAATCTTCTTGTCTTTTACTGCCTAAAATATCAGTGGGACCTCATCTCATCAAAAAAATTTGTAGATATCTGAATCAATACGAAAAATTTTACTTCCTATTATCTACATGTCATTTAGCATCACTTGGTAGTTCTATATTACTAAGCTTCTCAAAGCTTTCTCTGTTACTCACTATTTCAGGTTAAATTGATCCATTTCAGCTATCGACATCAGTATTGGAGTTCCACCGGCGTTGCTTGAGGAGTAAGATGCATGCGATTAGGGGGCATGTAGGTTGTATTTTGTTTTTATATTCGAGTCTGAGATATGTTTTATTTCTGAATATAATTAAATTTTACTTTTGTATTTATAAATTGTTTATAATTTTACACATTTCAATAGAAATTTTAAATTTTTTCTAGATTTTTACTGTAGATCACTCCGGTGACCCTAATGTGACACATCGGATCAGATCAGATCACCTGCATTAGTCTATGTGTGTTACATAAAAGGCTAAAAAACGAGAAATTTAAAAAGAACCTTAACAAAATAAAATAAAATATTGAGTGATGTTGAACATACTTGTTTAACATACTTGTTGCATCCCATGACCCTATAAGGTCCTCATAAAACTGATGTTGAAGTTAATCTTCGAGAACTTATTGAGTAGTCTTAATGATAAAATAAATATTGTTCTTTCTAGAGAATTTGGATTCAAACAATTGCATTTGTAATGTGTGTGTGCATGTTGTCAATATAGGTTAAGAAAAATTATAGAAAGATACTACCTTGTAATTACACAGACAATTAAAAAGTTGAACCCATTTAATATTTATTTAGGATAAATCTCGAGTTTATCAAAAGTTTCGTCAAGGATAATCACTCAGAAATTGTTTATTGATATTTGGTGGAGAATGGTATTTCCGAAAGAATAACGATCGAGATATTGTTCCATTGATAGTTTGCTACCCATTGATAATTGAAATGTAAATCATTTCATTCTATTATTATTCAATCTGGAAATTTACTTATGAATAGTATAAAAATTATAATAGTTTCAGTTAATTTAATATACACTTTAATATCTTATTTTTTTATTTTTATAATTAGGGTATTTATTTTTAATATAGTTTGTTAACAATATTTGTTTAGACATTTTCACTTCATTCTTGTTTGTATAATATTGTATAAATTATTTCTAGTAAGGTTCTTGACAAATTAGGATATATGATTTGGATATGGATTCCGATATTCATATATATGATTTTTTTTGATCGGATACGGATCATAATTTTAATTATTCAAATTTTCAAATATCCGAAATTTCGGATAGGATAATATCCTGTATCCAAAAATGTACACCTCTAATTGAGACTACCACAAACGAATTCCGATGGTGAGAACTGGAAGGAGGATGAGATAAATATATCTCAATTTTGATCAAATGGTGGAAAAGCAACATTAGTAATGGAGAAGCTTAAGTCACTGCACCATATCTATGTCATTTGGGGTGTTTTTAGGTGAAACCGACATCGAATTTAAATTTGAGACAAAAAATCAGAAATAAATTTTTTATGATCTTCAATTATCGTCGACAATGATTATCATATTGATATTTAAAAAAATGAAAAGTAAAAAAGAATAAATAAAATTATAACACTCCAAAATGACAACATTTTGAAATCCGCATCAACATCTTTTTGAGGGAAGTAATATAACGAGGACCACAAATATAATTATATAAATTTACGTATTTGATATATTAGCATTTAATGACTTATTAATACCATTTAATAGTTTAATGACCCAATTAACAAGCTTCATAGTTCAATGGTCAAAATAAAACCTACCCTATGATTTAACGATTATACAAGTAGTTATCCTTATAATATTTGATGTGATGTGTGAGTTTAAAATTTTATTAAGTAATGAGAACCAATCAAACGATCTCTGTAGTCAAAGGAGTGTCGTTTTCTTTAAGGTTTTAGGTTCGAAGAGCTGCGTCTACATGGTATGTGCATGTTGTCAATGATTAAGAAAAAATTTGAACATATAATACTCTTGTAATTACTTCGGAGTAATAAAATAATTATAAGTAAAGAATCAATATGTCATTAAAATAAAGTTATTTAAATTTGTTTTTAAGAAATTTTGATTTAAGTATCATTTGTTGTTAATGTATGAGTTTATACATCAACGAGACATTAAATTGTGACTTAAAAAATATGAATTTAATTCTATTTATTATAAAAAGAAAAAAAATCATATTTCACATCCACTATAAATAAAACTTATATGAATTAAATGATATTAGTGATTAAAGAGATGATTGTTATTTCTAAAGGTTTAGTGATTAAACGAACAAAACTAAATATACAAGATTAAAAGGAAAAAATATCGACGACAATAATCAACATTAAAATCAGTATCATTAACTACTAACGAAAGATGGGAAAAAAAATGCAAGCGGCGTTTTAGAGAAAAGTTTTAACCCTATGAGCGAGAGAATTGTTTTAACCTTAAGAAAATGCTAATTGATTTATCACAAAATCTAAAATATTGGTCATGAATGAGTTATGTATAATATTAAATAATAAAATGAGGAACGATTGAGTCAAATATAAATAATTAATAGAGTTTGAATTCATCAAATTAAGCTTCGCTTAAATAAGAAGATAAAAACACTGCCAATGTTACAAACTCAACTGCTCCGTTTCATCCTCCCTTTACCTTTTACCAAAATCTCACGAAGGGGTCGAAAAGAGACTTGGGTTGGGGACCATCCCATTCCAATGATTCCCACCACTCCCATGATTCTATCTCAATTGAAAGAGAAAGATTTGCAGATGCAGATGCAGATGGTGGGACATTATCAAGTTTGGGAAGATTAAGACCCATCCTCTTTAATTTTGGACAGCGTACAATCTCAATTTTTCCAAGAGAATCACAAACCAGTACACCAGCACTGCAAATGCTCTTCAATTCCGGTAGATCCCCCAAACTCAATAGCCCTAATTGTGGAAGATGAAACTCCGTGATAACCATTCCTCTTTCCTCCGTTTCAACTTCTGATGTTATTATTTCCTCCAATTGCTTACACCCAACAACACTGAGCTCTTGTAAATTTGGCGGCACACAGTTTGGGGAGAACACTTTTTCATATTCCCACAATCAAACAAATGAAGAGTTGTAAGAGATGAAAAGGAAAGTGAGAAGCGGATAAACCTGGAGAAAAGCGGGTATTCTTCACTGCAATCAACATTGCATTCCTCAATAACCAATCCCTCAATGTCACGTGGAAGCACAATCTGGTAGTTATATTCAGAAAACGTATAAAAGTTTGCATCTCCCACGTAGATCATGTATTCACGAGGCTCTTCTCGGCCACGACAAGCTTCGAGATACATATTTAAGTTGTGCCAGTCATAAAACCTCCCTTCAAGAGTTCCCTGCAGTTTCTTCAATCCACCCACCTCCTTTCCATTTATCAGAGTTCCACCTACGATCAATTCATGAAGACAACAGAATCTTGAAAGTACTCCATTCGGGATTTCCTTGATCTTTGTTCCTCGAAGATTCAACTTCTTTAAAACTCCAAGATTTAACGACGATGGAACACTCCCTAAATCTTCACAATAAGCAAGCAACAATGAAGTGAGGTTCTTCAAATTTGATAAGGAATGCGGAAGACTCTTGATAGGATTGGAGGAAAGATCAAGAGTCTTGAGCTCATTCGTATCATCGAAGAAGCTTTCTGGAATACTTTCTATACGACAACCACACAACAACAATGTGTGAGCCCGGGACACTTCGACAAGGAAATTGGAAGACTCTTGATAGGATTCCAGGAAAGATCAGAACCCTAAGCCCATGCATATGCTTGAAGAACCCTTCAGGAAGACTCGCTATATCACAATCAGACAACAACAATGTTGTGAGTCTGGGGCACTTCGACGGTGACATTTCCAAGGGTATGTATAACCGCCGATTCCCCATCAACGAAACTTTCTCTAGATCTTTGCTCCATTCTTGAACATCTGGTACCTTTTTCAACATCATTCCAGCTTTTACCAAGAATCGAGATTTTGCAATACGCAATGCCATGTCCCTTAAAAGATCATGCATCTTTACACGTCTTGCATGTTTTCCTTCAGAAAAAACTTCCAACAAACAATTGCTGATGAGTCTATTCATTATTGCACGACCATTGTCATACTCTGCCTGTATGCTATCCATTTCTTCCACTAGCCCTTCTCCGATCCAAAGTTGAATAAGACCTTTTTCTTCAATTTCCTCATCTTCTCGATATAATGCACAACTGAGGAAACATTCTTGAAGTTTTGGATTCTTTAAACGATCATAACTAAATTGCAATGGTTGGAACACTTCTTCTTCGAATCCATTAACACTCTTTTTGCGTAGACTTAATTCTTTTAGTGCATTCCTCCATTCTGAAATGTCATCAATGCCCTTCATACAAGAAGCTATAGTAATTATTCCCAAGGGCAAACCTGCACAACGGTTAGCAATTGATCTTGCAATTGGTTCCACCTCTGGAATATTGAGAATATCACAGCCCACCTTCTCTAAGAACAACTCCCATGCTGCTTCTTCCATCAGAGGCTTCACTTTAATAATTCTACAACCCATTTGTCGACACACATCTTCTTTTCTTGTTGTCAACACTAATTTAGCCCCATTTGACGGCTCAGGCATTCCTATTCTCTCAAGTGAAACCTTCTCCCATAGGTCATCCAAGATCATCACAAACCTACCCTTCCGAGATAATTTTTCTAAGAGCTTCCCCGCCCTTGTAGTTTCATCTTCATCACCCTTAAATTCTACACCAATTTTACTAGCAATGTCTGTCTGCAGTTTACCAATACTCATCTCGTTGGATACAGTGATCCAAATCACAGTATCGAATTTCCCCGTCTCTTTTAAGAGTTGGTTGTTTATAACCTTCATGATGCTTGTTTCCCCACGCCACCCATGCCCCAAACTCCAATCTTTTGAACCCCATCATCCATCAAGCACTGCCAAATCTCTTCAACACAGGCCTTTACAGCTTCACCTGATAAATTTGTTGTCGATAAAACTTGTCCGATCCATTGAGGATTGTCAACCACCAAACCCCCATGAAATCTACCCTGTTGAGTAATAAGTTCTTCAACTTCCTTTATACCCTTTGACACATCTTCTCTGTGAGATCCACGTGTAAAAGCATTGCTTTCACCAATTCTTCCCTCAAGGTCTTGCACTTCGCCATCGACTCTTTCAACATTTTTCAACCATATCTGGACTTCCGCCTTGAGTTTCTTTCTCGGCTGCAACTCTGATCTCATTATAGATTCTGTGTCTTCCTTCAAACCATTCAATTCCTCCAATTTCCTTTTAAGGTCCTTCATATCCGGATCAACACTTTTATAATTGTCATACTGTTTACCTGCCACATTCAGAACAAAGTCCATGGCTGCAAGTCACAAGCAATATGTTAGAAACTAAATAATAACGCATCATTAGGTGAATGTATCTAAACATGACTAAAAATATAACTTCATTTTATTCTTAAAATGTTTAAGAAACTATAAAGATGTAAATCAAGATATTTCCCCTCTCACGAATAATCAAATTAAATTAAACAGAAATTTAAGAGAGTGAAATTTCAAAATTTCAAGGCATAAAATTAAATCATGAATAAAAAATACAAAAAAAATCTGAATTATAAGATACTTTTTGGGTACATGGCTGTCTATAAACAAAATTTAAGAATAAATTTAAGGTCTATTGACATAATGAATAATCAAATGTTTTTTTTTTCTTTATAGTTGACAAAAAAATTAACAATCTAATGCAAAATTGATATAATTGTAAACTAAAAGTGATGTTACAATAATTAAACAATTTATAAGGGTATTTTAAAATGATTTAACAGAATACTTTTAGTCCAATTAATCAAAATTATATTTAATTTACATTTTAATAAAAATCTATATTTCTTTTAATGAAAAATTAAAATACTAAACGAAAACTAAAAGTTAAATTCTAACCATAAGGAAATTATCATAAACAAGAAAAAGGAAATATAATCTTAAAATAATATAAAGGAAATAATTTTAATTAAACATTTTATGAGAGTATTTTAAAAGAATTCAAAAAAATATTAACATTTTAGAAAACAAATCCTAAATAATTTGTAGGGTGACCACCAATATTTCGATTTAACTAATCAGAGACCACTCAACTATTTAAATGTTTCAATCAAGTCACTCTTCGTTAACTTTTAATTGGAGAGGCCACGTTGTAGTTAAAAACTTGGTATAATTGCATATTTGGTACTCAACTTTTATATTCTATCAATTTAGTTATAATATAATTCAATTAAAATAAATTTAATCTCTAATTAGATGATGACTTGAGCCACTACCTGATTAGAGTATATTTTCTTAATTTTTATTTATTTAATTCAATGAATTTTTCATCGAATAAGGTGTTGACATGTCCCTATTAAAGAGAGAAAATAAACGGGAGGAATGCATTAGGGGGCATCAAACCTAGGACATTAAAAAGCCAAGCACGCCTGAACCTCTCAGCTAAGCCTCCCATTTGGTTCTATATTACAACATTTTTTATGTAACTTATTTCAATTAATGATAGGAAAAATGAAGTGAAAATAATATCAAGAAGATTCAAACCTGAGATTGTAAGCATGGATGAACCAATCATAAATATTAAGCTAAATCACATATTTAAAGAAAAAAATTTAGTATCTTATATATTATATTTGTACACAAAATTTATCTATCTCAAATATTTTTTTGATAGAAAAATAAAAAAATAAAAATATTCAGATGATATTTAACTTTTAATATTTTTATATTTTTAAACAAAATAAGTTTAATATTTTATTTTCAAAACCAAATGCAATATTTTTTATATTTTTAAAAGAAATTCATGAAATAATTCATTTCATATAAAAATAAAAATATTTTTCTATATTAAAAAAAGCTTTATATTTTTAATATTTTAAAACAATTATATTAAATGCAAGATTCAAAATATAAAAAAATTAAAAATAAATAGTAAACTTATTTTACTTTGTTTAAAATATAAAATATTAAAAATAAATAAATAACATTTGTTTATATGAAGGCTACTGCGGGAATAAATTATATAAAGGCTACTGCGGTGCCTCAGTTTGATTCCTCCCTTGGATTATCTCGTCTTTTACTTTTTTTTCTTTAATTGAGAAGTGACATGTGTCATTATCTTATTGGATAAAAAAATTATTAACTTAAATAAATAAAAATTAAGAAAATATCATCTAATCTAGTAGTTCTAAATATAAAAAGGAATCTATTCTACAGCCGTTTATGAGCATTGAAGAAGAAAAAAGTTGAAATTCCATAAATACCCCTTTTGAGAAGTTTGTTCGAAGACGATGATCGGAGAGAAGCAGCTGATGAAGAAAACGGCCAAATGAAGTTCCTTGGTTTGCAGAAGAGCCGCTATTCACTCACCTGAACTTAAACTAAGCTCACAGAGGAAATTTCTAGGAAAATATGAGGAAGCTCCGCTGCAACCACTTTAAAGAAATGCAAATAGAAGCTCTGTTTGAAATTATTGCCCTCTGCTGCTTTTAATGTCGTGTTGGATTGGGTCCTACCTGTCTGAAAATAATGTGGAATCCGTAGAGCCTGACATTATTGACTAATGAAATCTCTCTTCTTTTTCTAATTTTCTATGGCACAACGATGTTCATGCATGTGCTTTGGAAGCGGTTCCGCTTTAAAATGATTACATTATTAATAAAATAGTTTTTATATTTTTTTATATTTTAAAACAATTATATTTAATGCAAGATTCAAAAAGTATTTAAAAAACATCGAATTCAGTTTTAAAAATAAAATATTAAACTTATTTTACTTTGTTTAAAAATATAAAAATATTAAAAAAATAAATATCATTTGTTTATATGAATATAGAAACAAATACCAAAAATCTTCTTTAAATATGTGATTTGACTGCGTGGTTATGATTTTTTTCATCTATGCTTACAGTTCCATATTTGAATCTCTTTGTTAGCATTTTCATTTCATTTTTTTTCATTACATGGAATAAGTTATATAAAGACTTCTATGGTGTCTCAGTTCGATTCCTCCTTCGGTTTATCTCGCCTTTTATTTTTTTTCTTTTTAATTGAGCGGTGATATATATCATCATCTTATTAGATAGAAAATTTCCGGTAGGTCTAAATATGAAAAGGAATCTATTCTACAGCCGTTTATGAGCTTTGAAAAAAAACAATGTTTAAATTTCATAAATACCTCTTTTGAGAAGGTTGTTCGAAGACGATGATCGGAGAGAAGCAGCTGATGAAGAAAACGGCCAAATGAAGTTGCTTGGTTTGCAGAAGAGCCGCTATTCACGCCCTAAATTTAAACTAAGCTTCACCTACAACACACAGGAAATTTCTGGGAAAATATGAGGAAGCTCCGCTGCAACCACTTCAAAGAAATGCAAATAAAAGCTTGGATTGAAATTATTGCCCTCTGCTGCTTTTAATTTCGTGTGGGGTAGGTCCTACCTGTCTGAAATAATGTTGGATCCGTAGAGCCTGACATAATCGACAATGAAATCTCTCTTCTTTTTCTAATTTTCTATGACACTCAACGATGTTCATGCATCTGCTTTGGAAGCGGCCCCGCTTTAAAAGATTACATGGGGTTTTTCAGTTCTTAATCCTGTCTTATGGTAATTGCTTGATGAAACTTGTGCATCTTAATCATGATGA